GTGGAGATCATCTGGACCTGCTGATTTGAACACATCCAGTCCATCCAGAAATTCCCTAATTGGAACAACTCCTGCTCCATTGGGAGCTGAAGACAAAACTCAAGCAGGGGCTTGAACTGAAATCTCCCACTTGGTAGCAAAATGCCCTCACTACCGGACCACAGACTGGGCACTCCAGAGAGCATCGTCTCCTCCTCCAGGTGGTCCAGGAGGAGCGCGTGCTAGAGGAGTCTGGTTCACTGAAATGACCACTGCTCTGAAAGAAATGAGGCTCTGGACTCTAAGGGCCTGCTCCCCACTCCACTGGGCTGTTTTAACCTGCTCTCCTCTTTCCTCCCACAACTTCACTGGGGGTTTTTTTGCATTGAATTTTCACTGGATAAAATGGATTGATAGCTCCATGGGGGACTGGAACAGTGGTCGAGGGTGGGAAATGTAGTACTTACCTAGGAAGAAGTGATTCACATGGGAGACAAACACTGTCTCTTCTCCTTCATGGTCACGAAATAAGAGCAATACTCATTGTGCTGTGGCAAATTAAAGCCTCACTTGTCGTGGAGCCCAACATCCCTTTCTAACAATCCCTTGGCTGATGCACCCAATGTTGCTGTCATTTCAGGAAAAAGGGTTTGCCCGGGAGAGCAGCTGGCTAGAGTGGAGTTTTTCCTGCTCTTCACTGCCCTTTTTCAGAGGTTCATGTTCCAGGCACCGAAGGACATGAACTCAACCTCCAGGTCAATGTGGGACTCACCACAAGCCCTCATCCAGCTGGCAAGATTTTGCCCCATTTCTCAGAATTGCTGAGCCTTATGGTAGATGATGCTTTGAGCACTGTGCACACTTCCCCAAATGTCTCTGCCTCCTCCATTCCTGTGTCCCATTGAAGCACTGCTAATGGGATGGCTACAGCTGAAAGAACGGATCCACTGGCTTGGAGACCTACTGCAATCAGGTAGCCGAGGAGTTCAGACTTTCTTTGAGAGCTGCAAATTTCATGACATTTTTTTCAAAAGAAGCAAATTTTTGTTTCATTCAAATGTGTTCATGAAGTATTCAGCTTTTTAATGAAAGCTTTTTCATAGATTCATAGATTGTAAGGCTGGAAGAAACTTTGGAGGATCATTGGGTCCAGCCCTTCCAAATTCTCTTAGAAAATGTAATCCCAGTGATCAGAAATAAGCCGGCATCTACTTATTTAACATTTTCTGCTCATAAAAGGCTGGGAGAGAGACTTAAAAGAGGGAGAGAAAGTGAGCAAAGCAAGAAAAAAAAATCTATATTCAATATTTTTCTATATTCAGATGGAAACTATTTTCATTTTTGTGAAAAATAATTGTTTAAAAAGCCAATGAGGAAAAACCCATGCCTAAGCCACCTTGTATCTCTTCTGCCCCCCACTCCTCCCACATTTCTACTACTGAAAAATGGACTTTGAGCTCACTAAGCAATGCTGGTCAGCATGGACTGAAAACAACTGCAATGAGAAAGTTGACTTCCGGCTTTAAAACAACATAGCAGCACAAGTGAAATCCCTTGATGACCTGGCATTGAATTGTTAATCGCTGCCCTGAGTTCAAATGACCAGTGTCTTGTTTTAGCTATTTAAAATTAAATGAGTTAACTTAGGTTAGCTCAAGTTAGAAAATACATCTTCTAACTTGGGTTAGAAAACACATCTTGTATTCATAGCGTAACCATAGCAAGGAAGGCTAAGTTGGGATATTGTTCAAACAGCTTTTCTTGTATGTTTTCTTTAATATTTTGTTTGCTTTTACAAGTTAATTTGTCTTTTATTGTAAGCTTACATTCTCATATAGTTACTTGCATGAGTAATTGCAGAGAAAAGTGCATCTACTTCACTCTGCCAAACTTCCACGGGGTGACTCCATACGAGCCTGCATAATCTGTTGCGTGAAACCATCTGGTCAGCTGCAAGTGATGGAGATTGTCCCTTAATTAGAGAGCTGCTAGCTAGCTAGTAAAATAGAGACCACGGGTCTACCAAGGCTGCCTATTACTCCACAATAAAGTTCATAGTTAAATTATTTTCATTCACGTATGCCTGTGTTTATTCAACCCAGTGATCACTACACAGCCTGTGTGTGCATGTGTGTATGTTCAAATGCTCCAAGTCATGGGGGCAGGGGGCACAACAGCACGTGCATGGGGGAAAATGAACTCCCAGCAATACAGAGTGAACATCTCTGCAAAGCACAGCATCTCCATGGCTAGCTGGGTTATTCAGATGAGGAATTAAGTGCTTGTTTAAGCATTTACTTAACTTTACACAATGCTCCATGGATTTCAGTGTTTGGAGTTCAGCATGTGCTTAAGCATCAGACTGGATGTTTTCCTGAGCTGGGGCTTCAGCATGCCAGTGCTGTAAGACAGGGACTGTCATTTCCTCTATATGTATATGGCATCTGGGTATAAGGACCCTCATGTGGTCAGCCTCAGGTCACTGCTGCAAGATAGTATATAATTTTCAATAGTAGTATTGTATGACAGTATAGATTGTAAACAATGCCATTATATAATCATTGCAAATGATAATGACTATGATTATATAATATTGTGGGCAATCCTGAAATAAAAAACCAAAAGCAGGTGGCTTTTGTGATCCAGCACTCACAAGGAAGTGATAGGGATTCACAGTACAGGGAGCTTGGACAAAAAAAAGAAGGACTTGCTCCTGTAGCCTAGGAGTCCTGTTTGCCCATGGTCATGCATGGGGAAGAAGTGAACTCACTGCACAGAAAAGGGGTGCCTTGATTCAGAGATGAAGCCACGGGTGGGACCCTAGACTCCTTAGAGTTTGCTGATCTAAGCCAGCAGAGTGATCCGGTACAGGGGAACACCAAGTCAGGGAGATGCCTGCAGGGATTTTTTTTTGACTGATCCTGTACAGCTTTGGGGCTGACGGCAGTAAGCAGAAATCACGCGTAACGTTGCCCCTCCCACCTGTTCTCACTCAGTCAAGCCTGGAAATGGGGCACGGAAACCTTTCCTCTTTTTTGGCTGTTGGGTCTGCATGGAGGACCAGGGCGTGCCATGGGGACCCCCCCGGATGTAATGCAGATAGCTCCCTTGAGCTCACGGACGCTAAAAGCACTCAGCTCCAGCACTCGTGGGAAACATAAGCACAGGCGTGTGGGGAGGGTGCGGTGGAGAAGCGTTCCCAGGGGTGTGTACAGGACAATGGTGAAATTACAGCCACAAACTCACCTCGACACCTGCTGTAACAAGATCCTTCCCCTCCCTCACTGTGGATTTGTAAAAGATCTGGTTTTACTGGATTGTTTTTTTAAGACAGAGGCTTGTGAAGAGGAATGAACCATCTGCCAATGCAAACCAATGCAAATGTTGAGATGAGGGGGCTGCCAATGCAAACCAATGCAAATGTTGAGATGAGGGGGGACAAAATGGTGGCCCAGCAGGGAGAGCCAGGCCAGCTGTCTGGCAGAAACAGGGCTAGCAGGACTCCTTGGCTGGCACCCTGCTGGGAACATCTCGTGTGCTTGTTAATCCCGTTCATTGTGTTTGTAGCCTTGACTCTCCTCCCATTGTAAAGGCGGCGGGTAGGGTTGTTGCTTCTGCTCTCCCATTTTGCTTCACAACCACTTCCACTTCCTGCGCAGGTCAATGCAGCTGCAGTTTCTCCCCGCTTTGGCCACCCTCTGGGAGAACATGTCCTTCCGGACCTTCGCAGTGTTCACGGTTGTGGGGCTGCTGATGGTTGATTATATGAAGAGGAGCCATCCAGCAAATCTCCCTCCAGGACCACTGCCCCTTCCCTTCCTAGGTCACATATTCCATCTGGCCTTCAAGCAGCCTCATCTCTCCGTGAAGAAGGTAAGAGGTGACAGGAGAGGGATTAGTTTTCAAGAGTAATAGCCAACAGGAAGTGGTAAGCCACAAAGTCTTGCAGCAGCCGGTGACGAGTTCCTGGTCTAGGTCTTGAGAAACCAGGCGAGCCCGCTCTAGACTGCTCTGAACTGGCATTTCCAGATAGCCCCCGTGAGCCGCTGCAACGACGTGGGGTTGTTACTGTGCAGGAAATCCAGGGCACGCTTTTTCCTTGGCCAAGATGTGGTGGCGTCCACTTCAGATCCTCTTCCCCAGTGGAAACCCTCAAGAAACAGGATGCACCGAGGCTGCATCTGCTGGTGATGGGGAATGTTTTAAAACACAGTTGGCATTACCAGGGAATCCCAATCTCTGTGTTGTGGATGGCAAGGTGTCAGGTCAGATGGGGACTAAGAGTTTGGAAGGTGTTGTAGGGATCTGAGAGACATTCAGGGTTTTTTTTTGTTTGTTTTTTTTTAAGAGTATAGAAAGTCAGGCCAGGCAGTGGGAAGCCCACAAGTACTTGACAGGTAAGAAGCTGCTCATAGAGGGTTGTTAAGCCATGAATGACTGGGGTTGAGATGCTTGGCCAGGTTAGAAGGGTTTGCATGGGATAGATGAGACTGGTAAGATTGAGAAGGGATTTTCAACAGCACATGGGCTTGGTATAATTTAATTACAAGACTTTAAGAAAGCCTCTGAGGTATGGGGTAGCAAGAACTTGTAAGGAAGTTGTGCGAGAATAGCAAGGCAAGGTATGTACGATGGGAGGTGATAAGTCAGAAGCTCCCAAGGATAGGTGACCCAGAGGTCCCAGCAGGGCATAGAAGTTAGTTTGTGAGGTTCATAGCTTTGCTGCTCTTCATCAAGGGTCACGGAGGAAACACAGTGTCACAGAGCGGGCCCTAGGACCGGCCGTGATCTCCCTAGCGCCCCCTACCGTGCCAAGTTAACTGTTTAGCACCCTCTCTCTCTCCCGCCACGTCTTGCTGTTATATATATCTTTAAGGGAGGCTGCCTTATTGTACTCTATGACACGGTGCTATGTTCGTACTGGCCCATATCCTCTAAGGGGTGACCCCGTGCACCCCAGCCATATGGGCTACGCGTGCCTCCAACCTCCCCTTTAGCACGCCCCAAGCCTCGCAGATGTCCCAGACGTTGACTGGTCAGTTTGCTCTCCACGCCCTGACTGGCGCTCTGGGCTTGCCATGCAGCTGGCGCTTCCCGTAGGCACTCTGGCCTTGGACTTGCCACACAGCTGGCGCCTCCTGTAGGCACTCTGGCCTTGTCACTCAACCGGTGTCCTG